TCTCATCAGCCTCGTCATCCTCATCAGCCTCCTCATTCTCATCAGCCTCGTCATTCTCATTCTCCTCAGCCTCGTCATTCTCATCAGCCTCATCATTCTCATAAGCCTTATCATTCTCATCAGCCTCGTCATTCCCATCAGCCTCGTCATTCTCATCAGCCTCATCACTCTCATTCTCATCAGCCTCCTCATTCTCATCAGCCTCGTCATTCTCATCAGCCTCGTCATTCTCATCAGCGTCGTAACACTCATTCTCCTCAGCCTCGTCATTCTCATCAGCCTCATCAATCTCATAAGCCTCATCATTCTCATCAGCCACTTCACTCTCATTCTCTACTGCCTCATCATTCTCATCAGCCTCGTCATTCTCATCAGCCTCTTCACTCTCATTCTCATCAGCCTCATCATTCTCATTAGCCTCATCATTTGCATCAGCTTCATCATTCTCATCAGCCTCATCACTCTCATTCTCATCAGTCTCGTCATTGTCATCAGCATCGTCACTCTCATTATCATCATCATTGTCATTCTCATCAGCCTCGTCACTCTCGTTCTCATCAGCCTCGTCATTCTCATCAGCCTTATCATTCTCATTCTCATCAGCCTCGTCACTCTCATTCTTATCAGCCTTGTCACTCTCATTCTCATCAGCCTCATCATTCTCATCAGCCTAATGATTCTCATCAGCCTCATGATTCTCATCAGCCTCATGATTCTCATCAGCCTCATGATTCTCATCAGCCTCATGATTCTCATAAGCCTCATGATTCTCATAAGCCTCATCATTCTCATCAGGATCGTCACTATCATTCTCATCAGCCTCATCATTCTCATCAGCCTAATGATTCTCATCAGCCTCGTCACTCTCGTTCTCATCAGCCTCGTCATTCTCATCAGCCTTATCATTCTCATTCTCATCAGCCTCGTCACTCTCATTCTTATCAGCCTTGTCACTCTCATTCTCATCAGCCTCATCATTCTCATCAGCCTAATGATTCTCATCAGCCTAATGATTCTCATCAGCCTCATGATTCTCATCAGCCTCATGATTCTCATAAGCCTCATCATTCTCATCAGGATCGTCACTATCATTCTCATCAGCCTCATCATTCTCATCAGCCTAATGATTCTCATCAGCCTCATGATTCTCATCAGCCTCATGATTCTCATCAGCCTCATCATTCTCATCGACCTCATCACTTTCATTCTCATCAGCCTCGTCACTCTCATCAGCCTCGTCATTCTCATCAGCCTCGTCATTCTCATCAGCGTCATCAATATCATTCTCATCAGCTTCGTCATTATCATCAGCATCGTCATTCTCATCAGCCTCATCAATATCATTCTCATCAGCCTCGTCATTCTCATCAGCCTCGTCATTCTCATTAGCCTCGTCATTCTCATCAGCCTCGTCATTCTCATCAGCCTCGTCACTATCATTCTCATCCGCCTCGTCATTCTCATCAGCCTCATCATTCTCATAAACCTCATTATTCTCATCAGCCTCGTCAGTCTCATTCTCTAAAGCCTCATCATTCTCATCAGCCTAGTCATTCTCATCAACCTCGTCACTCTCATTCTCATCAGCCTCGTCATACTCATTCTCTTCAGCCTCATTATTCTCATTAGCCTCATCATTCTCATCAGCCTCGTCAGTCTCATCAGCCTCGTCAGTCTCATCAGCCTCGTCAGTCTCATCAGCCTCGTCAGTCTCATCAGCCTCGACAGTCTCATCAGCCTCATCATTCTCATCAGCCTCGTCAGTCTCATCAGCCTCGACATTCTCATCAGCCTCGTCAATAAATGAAACGAAACCAAAAGTTCATTTAATGTGAAGCCCATTTATTCATTGGCGACAAAATAAAAATATTCCTTACACCTTGATTAAGTTGTTAATTTGTTCGGCATTTTGAGTTAGTAAAAGAACTTATCACCGTATCTCCTCTCCCACATCTGGTAAGCACCAGCATATCTATAATGGTGCTCTTTCCAGTTGTCTGTTGAGTAAACAAAAATGGTTGATTACAATGAGCGTCAGTTACCGAAAGCTCAATTCCTAAAGTGGTCAGCATACAAACTGTTTCTATTTCATCGTTATGGAAAATTAATTCGTGAAAATAAAAAAAAATCTACCCTGCGGCCCCTTACCTCAAACATTACAGAAAACACATCTAGACACAAGCCAAAACACATCTAGACACAAGCCAAAACACATCTAGACACAAGCCAAAACACATCTAGACACAAGCCAAAACAGATCTAGACACAAGCCAAAACACATCTAGACACAAGCCAATACATATCTAGACACAAGCCAAAACACATCTAGACACAAGCCAAAACACATCTAGACACAAGCCAAAACACATCTAGACACAAGCTAATACATATCTAGACACAAGCCAAAACACATCTAGACACAAGCCAAAACACATCTAGACACAAGCCAAAACGCATCTAGACACAAGCCAAAACGCATCTAGACACAAGCCAAAACACATCTAGACACAAGCCAAAACACATCTAGACACAAGCCATATCATTATATTATTGGCATCGACTAAAAATTCTGCTCCCCTCCCCCCTTTCTTACGCCACTTGCATTGGTTCTTGCTCTGCTGGTACGATTACTAAGTTGTACGTATGTATTGTTTTTGTGTATAAGATTTCAGTTGGCACTTTAGTGAAATTTAATATTTTGAAATCAGAACATAATTTTGTATCCATATTGTTGATGGCAGGGATTCAATGTCAAGATAATAGGAGGGATTGTTATGGCTTTTGTTAAGAACTTTCTGCCGTGTTTACCATACATCAAAACTCCCGCAGTAGCAAAGTCTACTGAACGGCAAGGCTCTATTGTTGTCTATGGGAACAACACTTTTCTAGGGTATACTTTCGTCCACTCTGGGTGAGGAAAAGCAATAAAAATATCGAGTTTAAAATACTTAATTTCCCATATTTACACAATCAGTAACGACACGTTTTCAGAACGGCCTCTATAGATTTCACAATATATAAACATTAAGACGATTAAATTCGTGGATATTCTTCTTTGACTGAAATTCAGAAAACATACAATGGAACATCGATGATCTATAATTTCAACTTCACGTCGTTCTTTAATTCAAGAACTTTTTCTAACAGCTGAAATGTACTTTTTGTGTAGAATTTTGGGCGTGTAATCCCAAAGAGTATTTTTATAGCATGTGTGTTGACCTGATTTTAATATAACGTATCGTTAATATGATATAACTCGACACTGACACTCATGATCAACAACTATACCATACTCTAACATCATCACACTTACACATTTTTTGTTAATATAAGATCATGGCTTGGCCGATTACAATATGAATACATAAATAATAATTATAATTTATTTTTTAAAGATCAGACCCGAGTTTGAGCCCATGCTTACCGAACCAGTCTGCTCTTCTTTTCACATCATAGCCTTCGGGTGGCAGACCGTATGGTAGCTCCCGACGGTCACACCTCGGCTTTTCACATTTGTGGTACTTGTAATTGGTGCGACTGTAGGCGGGTATGCCTATGCAATATTGCTTCATGCTAGACAAATCCTGTAAACTGTTATTTATTCATAGATTTTAACAGAAATAATGAACTTATATGATATTAAAAGTAGAAGTATTATTTTTTTTCTTTAAGAGGTTTCCTTTGTCAAATTTTGAGACGTTTGATTAATGTAGTCAGAATGATCGTGGGCCCTTCAGATAGAGAAGAAGAAGAATGAGATCAACTGAATCATGACACTTGGAAAGCTTAAGATATTTCAGGAAACATGAATAATGGATGGTTCTATTAGTGCGCCTTGGATCAATTACACTTGAAGTTGAATAGCGATGTCCAATCTTTTACAAATCCCAGCTTCCATCAAATTAACAACATATTTGAAAGTGGCTTTACCGCTGTCATATGTTGATCTCTATGAATTACAAATAAGGGCAACGGCGTCACCTCTCCCTTCTTTTTTTTTTTTTTTTTCGTGTTTTTGATAAGTCCTCAAATATGGTAAACCGGTCCAGCCGGTTTTTCATTCTTGGGAACTTATGAATTACAAATAAGGGCAACGGCGTCACCTCTCCCTTCTTTTTTTTTTTTTTGTGTTTTTGATAAGTCCTCAAATATGGGAAACCGGTCCAGCCGGTATTTCATTCTTGGGAACGAGGATACCCCTTGCCACCGCCCCAAGATAGAGACGACGCTATAATTTTGAACTACAACATCGCCTGAAGGACTTGCCCTAATCGCTCTTGCAGAAAATTGTCTCCTGGGTCTACCCCCGATTCACTGAGTAGCTTCCTAGCGTGCCTTTAAACTTGAGATATTATCTCATTTCTGTATTTTCAGGATAATCGTCTTCAAATGTCCCTATCGGACCGCAACAAGCTGTCACGCCAGGTATGACGGTAACGTTCTTCAACGTCGCCTCTCATCCATGTCCAGATTAAATCCACATAGATCTTATGTGAGCTACTCTTTGGGATTAATGCTGCAGCTGGGGGTCCGAGCATGGATGTCAAAAGCAATATATTGGTCTGAATGTAAACATGTGGTGGAGCAGGCCATTGAACGTGATGGCGAGGCTCTGCTGAAGTCTAACACAACGCACGGAAATGGGACAAGGAAGTGGCAGTTGATATCTACTCAGACAAACACATGACTAGTGTTTCTTCCATACATTTCCCCCGGGGGGGGGGGGGTTTGCGGTTTTTTTTTTTTTTGGGGGGGGGGGGGGGTTGTCGGATTTTTTTTTGTGAGGGGGGGAGTGGGGAGCAGTGCCATTGGACAGTGACTAGAGGCGTAGGTAAGGGTTGGCAGATGGGACATTCGTCCCGGTGTGCCAGACTAGCGGAGGTCGCCAAAATTGGTTTTGATGATATTTAATGGTTGGAAATAATGGGTTCCAAAGTTGAGGGTGGGTGCGTACAAATGAATCCCCTGACGCCAAACACTCTCGCTACGCTTCTGTTAGTGGCGTAGACAGGGGGCTGATATATTGGTCCACCCAGGTGTCACTTTTCTTTATAAGAAGTTGCGTCATTTTTTGACAATGCATAATTTGTATCGTAAAAGAGAGAACGGAAACATAAATATTTGGCTGCCCATAGCGGCACTAATAGTAACTAAGCCAACAGGCACTGTATCTATCAGCACCAAAATTAACTATAAGTTTCATCGGGAAGTAGGACGAAAATCGATAGCACCGATAAATCTTGATAGGTGGAGGGGCTGGGGAGATGTTCTCCCCAGAAAATTGTTCATTACTTAAAAAATCAAGAGATGCATTTTTGAGTATACTTGAATTAAATATTTCTATGATATTTTTTTAAACTGGGAAGGATATTTTTAAGGGTCTGAGGGAGGCATTATTCGCCCAGCGCCATACATAAACTATATTCACTCCGGTTGGGGCGTGTCCCAGGACAATCATTTGGCACAAGCTTATATTTACCCCATACTCTAAAATTGATCAGCATTGGGGGGGGGGGGATGTGTACATACTTGAACTCAGTGTTTCTTTCAGACAATTTTTGAGGTGGCTTTTGAAACTTTTGGATGTGAAGCACCAAAATCAATCATAATAATGATCAAAGACATCTTTAAGTCCAAGTTGGTGGGACTTGAACAAAATTCATTCCAGTTGTGTCGTGCTTGAGGGTATGCTTTTCCTCTAGCTTATTCTCGCTCCTCAATTCTTTATAGTCACAAGAAATTTTTTGATAAATTCAATATACAAGAATACATTTCAGCACACATCTGAATGTGTTTTGAAACATTTCACATTTAACTGGAGAGGAATGGAAGAGATAATAGAAAAAATAAGTTTCACTTAACCTTAGACCCATAATGTGAGCCCAGAATTTCCTACGACTGCAGGGGGCCACGGATATTTAAGCGGATTAAAGATGCGAAGTGGCATATTGGGATATTGGGATATTTTCTTAATTATCATCTTTCAATGCAAGGTGGGGGAGGAAAAAACCGAAAAGAGGCAGGGGGCTTCAAAAAGTCGAGCGATGGCTCTGCTTGACCTGCTTCTGTTATGCATACATTTTTATATCACTAAATAATAATGTGGATTTTAATATTTATATAGGCCTACATTGTTTTTTAATTATTTTTTAAAGTGTGTGTGTGTGGGTTGAAGGGGGGGTTGCACTAATTAATTAATATAAGAATTTTCCTAGAAAAAATGGTCAATCACTAACAAGGCCTGCAAACATCATTTTACATGTTGAACGTAAATGGAAAAAAACAACAACAGTTAATTAGAAAGTGCTATACATTTGTGTGGGTTTTAAAAACTGATCCTTTTTATAAATCATATATGAATGACATAAATATGTTAAGAAAACATGAGTTGTTTACAAAATACATTATTTATTAATGTGCGTTTTTATCTTAGGGAAATCGTATAAAAATAAAGTATATATTTCCAATTATTGAAATTTGTATTTATTTTATTTTCAAACTGCTATAACTTTCTTTAGATGAATTACAAATTGCCTCTTTGATATACTTTAAAACATTTTTTGACCAAATCCACAGATTTGATAATGACCATTTGGGAATAAGATTTCTTTCTAAAATAGGATTGATATTGGGCATGATAAAAAAAATGCTCGTTCACAAAAATCTTTTTTTTTAAAAATCTTTCTGCTAGATTCTAACCTAGAATTTTTTTTTTATCTGTGCGAATAGGTTGGGGCAGTTTGTTTATTATGCTGATATTACTCTTGTACCGCGCTTCGAGCCTTTGGGGATGAAGCGTGTTTTTTAAATACACTTTATTATTATTATTATTATATTAACAGACAAATACCTTTGAGAATTTAATAAAGATAGTCTAAGTATTTTTTTTAAACTCTGATATTCAGGAAACTTTGTTAAAAATAGCACATGTAAAAAAACAACAACAACACTTTAGATTTTATAATAATTGATGAACCGTGCGCTCTTTGTGTGCGCGCCCCTTGCCGTTCAACTCTTTATTACAATTATCGAGTACATTTAAAATGAGAACAATAAGAATAACAATAAAGCCTGATGCCATCATTCAGTCATAATGAAAACATATACCTACTTTAAAAATCTGGATATAAGCTAGAGGTTTGGGGACACTCGACGGTTGAGGAAGGGACAGCCCAGTGGACATGTAGCAGTGAGGGAGAACGATCGAGAGCGAAGCCAGACAGGGGTGTAGTCGAGGACAGACGTGATAGGACAGTAGAGAGACAAAGATGACAGTTAGAGCAGAGCCAAGGTCTTGAACGTGAACAGTAGAGCAGATCATTAAGGAATGAAGTCTAACCATCAACGTGTTATTACCTGCTTTGCAGTACGATGTTCAAGAATGAACGAGGTTACCATCCAGATAAAGCAGTAGGAGAATAGAGATGGCTATAAGGTTCTCTACAATGGTGGCAGCGGTGGGATGGTAACCTTGCAACGACTCCGAAGAGACAAAATACTTGTCTGTTAGCCTGAGATGAGAAGTGCAAGGCGTGGAAAAAGTAACGAAAGTACAATAACTTCCCTGTACTTAAACAACCTTCAGACCTACAGTGGAACTGCTACGGGGCATACTTTCATCGTTCAGTTTGAAACTTCGGCCAGAATTTTCAAGTGGAGCGAGGAAGATAAACTCCTCTATCTCTTCTTTGCGTTGAGGGATGCTGCTGCTGAATTCGCTTACAGCGAGTTATGTGAAGCTGAGCGAGATAGTTACGAGAAACTTAAGGATCCCCTGGCTAATCGATTCAAGTACCATCGAACTCCAGCATTCTTCCAAAACATTTTGGAAAAACGCATACTCCTGAGATGAGAGACCACTGCAGAGTACGCTACAAACACCAAGAAACTGGTGGAGAAAAGCTTCCCAATGGCAGATGCCATTGGATTCAAACAGTTTCTACGTGAACTGCCAGACCAGTCTTTGGTGGCACTAGGCTGTTCCTCCAACAGTGGACAAGGCGAGAGCTGCCCTGGAGAGCTGCCCTGGAGAGCTGCCCTGGAGGGCTGCCCTGGAGAGCTGCCCTGGAGAGCTGCCCTGGATCAGCTCTTAAATCTGAGGGATACTGTTTGTTTAGCAAAACAGCACGTAGCATCAATAGCTACCGTCCACTTGGCAAGTAGCATCAATAGCTACCGTCCACTTGGCAAGTAGCATCAATAGCTACCGTCCACTTGGCAAGTAGCATCAATAGCTACCGTCCACCTGGCAAGTAGCATCAATAGCTACCGTCCACTTGGCAAGTAGCATCAATAGCTACCGTCCACCTGGCAAGTAGCATCAATAGCTACCGACCACTTGGCAAGTAGCATCAATAGCTACCGTCCACTTGGCAAGTAGCATCAATAGCTACCGTCCACTTGGCAAGTAGCATCAATAGCTACCGTCCACTTGGCAAGTAGCATCAATAGCTACCGTCCACTTGGCAAGTAGCATCAATAGCTACCGTCCACCACTTGGCAAGTAGCATCAATAGCTACCGTCCACTTGGCAAGTAGCATCAATAGCTACCGTCCACTTGGCAAGTAGCATCAATAGCTACCGTCCACTTGGCAAGTAGCATCAATAGCTACCGTCCAATTGGCAAGTAGCATCAATAGCTACCGTCCACTTGGCAAGTAGCATCAATAGCTACCGTCCACTTGGCAAGTAGCATCAATAGCTACCGTCCACCTGGCAAGTAGCATCACTAGCTACCGACCACTTGGCAAGTAGCATCAATAGCTACCCTCCACTTGGCAAGTAGCATCAATAGCTACCGACCACCTGGCAAGTAGCATCAATAGCTACCGACCACCTGGCAAGTAGCATCAATAGCTACCGACCACCTGGCAAGTAGCATCAATAGCTACCGACCACCTGGCAAGTAGCATCAATAGCTACCGTCCACCTGGCAAGTAGCATCAATAGCTAGCGACCACCTGGCCAGAGAGATAAGCGGCCTGAGAGATGACCTTGGGGCATTCATCGCCTTACAGCGAGAGGCAAACCAGCCGGCACGAGAAACGGGAGGTAATTGGAGGGTTGAACCTAGGTGCTTCAGGTGTGACCGAATCGGTCATATTTCACGTAATTGCCCAGCAGTTTACAACCGAGTCAGGCAGTGTGACACACCATTTTGCAACAGGTGTCATCGTACAGCTCACATTGAAATGTTCTGCGCTAACGCACGACGATGCTACAGATGTTAATGCCAATCGTCATCTTGCTCTAGATTGCTTTAATAAGCACCGGTGTTTTCGTTGCTATGAGAGTGGGCACCTGGCCAAAGAATGCAACCGGCCACGGGTATGTTTAAGGTGTTTGCGCCCAGGCCACACTGCTGTGAGGTGTCCATTTTAGGGGCGGTACTACAAGTGTCACCAACATGGGCATGTCATGAGAAATTTCTAGTCGTCCATGAAATGGAAGAAGATCAAATTTCTAGTTGTAGAGAGGTGAAAACGGCAGCGACGTGTTTCAGATTAGGAAAGGAAGTGTATAGAACAGATAGAGAAGTAGCAAATAAAGAAGTGTATAGAACAGATAGAGAAGTCGCTAGAAAATAAGTGTATAGAACAGAGAGAGAAGTCGTTAATAAAGAAGTGTATAGAATAGATAGAGAAGCCACTAATAAAGAAGTGTATAGAATAGATAGAGAAGTCGCTAATAAAGAAGTGTATAGAATAGATAGAAAAGTCGCTAATAAAGAAGTGTATAGAATAGATAGAGAAGTCGCTAATAAAGAAGTGTATAGAATAGATAGAGAAGTCGCTAATAAAGAAGTGTATAGAATAGATAGAAAAGTCGTTAATAAAGAAGTGTATAGAATAGATAGAGAAGTCGCTAATAAAGAAGTGTATAGAATAGATAGAGAAGTCGCTAATAAAGAAGTGTATAGAATAGATAGAGAAGTCGCTAATAAAGAAGTGTATAGAATAGATAGAGAAGTCGCTAATAAAGAAGTGTATAGAATAGATAGAGAAGTCGCTAATAAAGAAGGACAAGTGTGATTAAGAGCAGAGTAGAGAAAACAAATGATAGCAAAGATGAAATTATTTTAGGAGGAATTTCGATTGGCGCTGGAGTGAAGAAAAGTGTAGATGGGTTAGTCGAAGATCAAAAGGTTAAAGTGTTTGGGCATAATCGGTGTAGTGACATAGTGGTCAGGAAGGACTTAATCTGTGTAGTGACATTGCGGTCTGGAAGGACTTAATCTGTGTAGTGACATAGTGGTCTGGAAGGACTTAATCTGTGTAGTGACATAGTGGTCTGGAAGGACTTAATCTGTGTAGTGACATAGTGGTCAGGGGGGACTTAATCTGTGTAGTGACATAGTGATCTGGAAGGACTTAATCTGTGTAGTGACATAGTGATCAGGAAGGACTTAATCTGTGTAGTGACATTGCGGTCTGGAAGGACTTAATCTGTGTAGTGACATAGTGGTCTGGAAGGACTTAATCTGTGTAGTGACATAGTGGTCTGGAAGGACTTAATCTGTGTAGTGACATAGTGGTCAGGGGGGACTTAATCTGTGTAGTGACATAGTGATCTGGAAGGACTTAATCTGTGTAGTGACATAGTGATCAGGAAGGACTTAATCTGTGTAGTGACATTGCGGTCTGGAAGGACTTAATCTGTGTAGTGACATAGTGGTCTGGAAGGACTTAATCTGTGTAGTGACATAGTGGTCTGGAAGGACTTAATCTGTGTAGTGACATAGTGGTCAGGGGGGACTTAATCTGTGTAGTGACATAGTGATCTGGAAGGACTTAATCTGTGTAGTGACATAGTGGTCAGGAGTGACTAAATCTATGTAGTGACATATTGATCAGGAAGAACTTAATCTCTGTAGTGACGAAGTGGTCAGGAATGACTTAATCTGTGTAGTGACATAGTGATCTGGAAGGACTTAATCTGTGTAGTGACGTAGTGATCTAAAAGGACTTAATCTGTGTAGTGACATAGTGGTCAGGAAGGACTTAATCTGTGTAGTGACATAGTGATCAGGAAGGACTTAATCTGTGTTGTGACGAAGTGGTCTGGAAGGACTTAATCTGTGTAGTGACGTAGTGATCAGGAAGGACTTAATCTGTGTAGTGACGTAGTGATTAGGAAGGACTTAATCTGTGTAGTGACGTAGTGATCAGGAAGGACTTAATCTGTGTAGTGACATAGTGATCAGGAAGGACTTAATCTCTGTAGTGACGAAGTGATCAGGAAGGACTTAATCTGTGTAGTGACGTAGTGGTCTGGAAGGACTTAATCTGTGTAGTGACGTAGTGGTCTGGAAGGACTTAATCTGTGTAGAGACATAGTGATCAGGAAGGACTTAATCTGTGTAGTGACATAGCGGTCTGGAAGGACTTAATCTGTGTAGTGACATAGTGGTCTGGAAGGACTTAATCTGTGTAGTGACATAGTGGTCTGGAAGGACTTAATCTGTGTAGTGACATAGTGGTCAGGAGGGACTTAATCTGTGTAGTGACATAGTGATTTGGAAGGACTTAATCTGTTCAGTGACATAGTGGTCAGGAGGGACTTAATCTGTGTAGTGACATATTGATCAGGAAGGACTTAGTCTCTGTAGTGACGAAGTGGTCAGGAATGACTTAATCTGTGTAGTGACGTAGTGATCTGGAATGACTTAATCTGTGTAGTGACATAGTGATCTGGAAGGACTTAATCTGTGTAGTGACGTAGTGATCAGGAAGGACTTAATCTGTGTAGTGACATATTGATCAGGAAGGACTTAATCTGTGTAGTGACGAAGTGGTCTGGAAGGACTTAATCTGTGTAGTGACGTAGTGATCAGGAAGGAAATAATCTGTGTAGTGACGTAGTGATTAGGAAGGACTTAATCTGTGTAGTGACGTAGTGATCAGGAAGGACTTAATCTGTGTAGTGACATAGTGATCAGGAAGGACTTAATCTCTGTAGTGACGAAGTGGTCTGGAAGGACTTAATCTGTGTAGTGACATAGTGGTCAGGAAGGACTTAATCTGTGTAATGACATAGTGATCTGGAAGGACTTAATCTGTGTAGTGACATAGTGGTCAGGAAGGACTTAACCTGTGTAGTGACATAGTGATCTGGAAGGACTTAATCTGTGTAGTGACATAGTGGTCAGGAAGGACTTAATCTGTGTAGTGACATAGTGGTCAGGAAGGACTTAATCTGTGTAGTGACATAGTGATCTGGAAGGACTTAATCTGTGTAGTGACATAGTGGTCAGGAAGGACTTAATCTGTGTAGTGACATAGTGATCTGGAAGGACTTAATCTGTATAGTGACAAAGTGGTCAGGAAGGACTTAATCTGCGTAGTGACATAGTGATCTGGAAGGACTTAATTTGGGTAGTTACGTAGTGATCTGGAAGGACTTAATCTGTGTAGTGATATAGTGGTCAGGAAGGACTTAATCTGTGTAGTTACATAGTGATCTGGAAGGACTTAATCTGTGTAGTGGCGTAGTGATCTGGAAGGACTTAATCTGTGTAGTGACATAGTGGTCAGGAAGGACTTAATCTGTGTAGTGACATAGTGATCAGGAAGAACTAAATCTGTGTAGTGACATAGTGATCAGGAAGGACTTAAACTGTGTAGTGACATAGTGGTCAGGAAGGACTTAATCTGTGTAGTGACATAGTGGTCAGGAAGGACTTAATCTGTGTAGTGACATAGTGGTCAGGAAGGACTTAATCTGTGTAGTGACATAGTGATCTGGAAGGACTTAATCTGTGTAGTGGCGTAGTGGTCTGGAAAGACTTAATCTGTGTAGTGACATAGTGATCAGGAAGGACTTAATCTGTGTAGTGACACATTGATCAGGAAGGACTTAATCTCTGTAGTGACGAAGTGGTCTGGAAGGACTTACTCTGTGTAGTGACGTAGTGATCAGGAAGGACTTAATCTGTGTAGTGACGTAGTGATCAGGAAGGACTTAATCTGTGTAGTGACATAGTGGTCAGGAATGACTTAATATGTGTAGTGACATAGTGATCTGGAAGGACTTAATCTGTGTAGTGACGTAGTGATCTGGAAGGACTTAAATCTGTGTAGTGACATAGTGGTCAGGAAGGACTTAATCTGTGTAGTGACATAGTGATCTGGAAGGACTTAATCTGTGTAGTGACGTAGTGATCTTGAAGGACTTAATCTGTGTAGTGACATAGTGGTCAGGAAGGACTTAATCTATGTAGTGACATAGTGATCTGGAAGGACTTAATCTGTGTAGTGACATAGTGGTCAGGAAGGTCTTAATATGTGTTGTGACATAGTGATCTGGAAGGATTTAATTAGTGTAGTGACATAGTGATCTGGAAGGACTTAATCTGTGTAGTGACATAGTGGTCAGGAGGGACTTAATCTGTGTAGTGACATAGTGATCTGGAAGGACTTAATCTGTGTAGTGACATAGTGGTCAGGAAGGACTTAATCTGTGTAGTGACATGGTGATGTGGAAGGACTTAATCTGTGTAGTGACATAGTGGTCAGGAAGGACTTAATATGTGTTGTGACATAGTGATCTGGAAGGACTTAATCTGTGTAGTGACATAGTGGTCAGGAGGGACTTAATCTGTGTAGTGACATAGTGATCTGGAAGGACTTAATCTGTGTAGTGACATAGTGGTCAGGAGGGACTTAATCTGTGTAGTGACATAGTGATCAGGAAGGACTTAATCTGTGTAGTGACATAGTGATCAGGAAGGACGTAATCTGTGTAGTGACATAGTGATCTGGAAGGACTTAATCTGTGTAGTGACGTAGTGGTCAGGAAGGAGGGCGGTGCATAGTTGGAGGTGGCCTAGAAAGTCAGAGATGTAGTGTTTAGTTCAGTATGAGGATACTTTCCAACGTCATCATGAAGACTCTCTGACAGAGACATTAGGCATGTTTTTAAGACTCTAGTAACTTAAGTTCATTTAGGTGTGCTATCTTTATCTTAGTTTTCAGTTTCACGAGTGAATTTTGTTTTTAAACTTGTGTAGTTTAAGTTATGTTGATAATAGGTAATGAGTACAATCATGTGTTTAAACTGTTGTAGTTGTGCTATAAATATTTTTAATGAATCATATATGCGAGTCGCTGCCCCTGTGTTATTGTTGAAAAGCCAGCGGAGCAGTGAGAGCTCATAGAGCTCATGTTTGAACAGTGCGAATTGAGCCTTTATAAAGGCAGTTTGGGTAGCTTATAATGTTTTATTTGTGTTGTTTAGTAATGCCATAGTGACAGAGATGTTTTTATGGACATCACCGGTACACATCCATACCAGGACGTGCAGGACACATGATGGTTTGATGTTTAGATGATGTGTAGAGTGTCAAGGATCCAATTATCAAAGTAGATTGTTTAAAGCGTGATGGAATTCCTAGACATCAAGTAAACCAGAACATCATCTTTCCATACAGCCAGTAACGGACAGGTCGAACGTTTTAACTCAGTGCTAAATAAGATGATCTCTGCCTTCGTAGTAGATAATCAAAAGGACTGGGACGTCCACCTCCCACTATTGACCAGTACGTAAAGAAACCATCAACATCCGAGCACTGGCTTCTTGGGCCCAATTATTTAATTTTGGGCGGGAGCTCTATCAGCCCATTCACCTGTCCATGGGGGCTTCATTACCTGGTAAATGTCTCGGTCAACCCGTACCGGAGTACGTGTTAAAACTTGAACAAAAGTTGGACGACATTTGGATTTAACTAAACAGGTGGATCGAAACCCAAAATTGAACCCCAATAAATGTCGCGGACCATTCGTAGTTATTAGAAAATTTAGTGATGTGTTATTTGAAATTCAAGGAGAAGGTACGGCGAAGGCAAGAATAATTCACCACGACCGATTGAAACCCTATTATGACAATAATCCACCAGACTGGATTTTAAAGTTACAAACAATTTGCCTGAGAGGCAACTTGATAGGGGGCACTCCGAAGCTTCCAAGCGTTCTGCAAGATGCTTAGAGTGTTAATGACAGTGGGGACACATAGATTCATTTAATGGGATGTTCTAATTATGACATGATTATAGTTACTGTTATTTGAGTTAAAGTTTTTTTGTTTTTTTTTTAATGTATAAAATGTTGTTGATGAATCTTAATGACATTAACACTAACCTTGAAGGCTTTGAGTTAGTTTCGGATGTATACTCATCACAATTATTGTTTTTCCATTGAAGGTTCTAATTATATACTTAACATGTTTCATTATATTTTTTATTTTTTTGGTTTAATTTAGTTTTCAACTTTATATCTTAATGTAGTACTATTAATTAATTTTCTAAATGTTGTATTATTCCGTATTTAAATTTTGGACAACCATAATTGTCTGATTGTTGTTCAAAACTCTGCTGCTAGGCTTGTTCTTAAGGCAAAAAAACGCGATCACGTCACTCCACTACTCCACTCACTACATTTGCTCCCTATACAGGCACGCATTGACTACAAGCTGTCTCTTCTGTGTCACAACTTTTTCTCGGATTCCTGCACATCCTATCTAACTGAACTTCTTTCTGTCTATTCACCCCTTCGACAACTTCGCTCCTCCGCAGACTCGCGTATTCTGTCCGTTCCCAAGACACGCACTAAATTATATGGTGAACGATCTTTCTCTTTCTGCGCCCCCAAACAATGGAATTCTTTGCCACTACACATCCGCAATATAACAACCACACAGGCCTTTAAAACTGCACTCAAAACACATCTATTTAAACTATACTACTCTGACTGATTCTCCTCCTATAAACCGATAAACGTACATGGGTTTCCTTGTAAAAATGTCTGGTGTGGGTGGATGAATATACCTATGGTGTTGTTTTGCTTATATGTTTTTTTATTTCATTTATGTATTTTATTTTAATATTATGATTATGCCTCTTTGCTATATATGTACAGCGCGGTGAGCCCAGCCCTAGGCCGGGGTACCGCGCTATATAAGACCACTTATTATTATTATTATTATTAATGTACTTGGCGCTCTGACTGTGACCCAAAACTGACTCTGACCTTGACCCTATCTGTTTAGGAGACCGTGAATGGGGTGACCGTTTCGTTCAATTGTCGTACCGGTATTCAAGGGGAGGGGTTCGCGTAGGGTTGGTGAGGGGGGAGGGGGGAGACGTTGAGAAGCAATAGATCCCAAGGGAATTACGTCGTCGCGTGCATTTCTAGGAGCTTTTGTTGTTTTGTTTTTTTTAATGAATGCTGAAGGTCCAAGTCACATAAAGCCATTAAGAGACCAGTAATAAGTAATTGTAGCGAGGATGTCACGTAATGTCGGGACGGCATTGTTTTTGTAAGAAGGGGGTAATGTAGAGAGTTCGGCCTGGGTGGTGAACGGGTTGGGGGGGGGGGGAGCCACAGTGCGATGGCTGACCAATTGGAGAGTTCAGCCTGGATGCAGGTAGCGGTCAACGTCACTATAGGGAGGCAAGAGTCGACTTTGGCATTTATAGATGGGGAAGGCATAGCCTGGGAACCAAGCCGACAAACGGTACATCGCTAAGGGACTGAAAATATCACGAATAAGTTAGAGTAATGACTTTTTGTAGTCTGCTGTCAATTGAGGAATGTCCATACCGTGATAGGTAAGACCAAACTTGATCGGTGTTAATAAGTGGGTAGAGACATTGAACAGGCGTCCGGGGGTAATAGATCTGGTCTGGGAGAATAGGGTCTCTCTTAACGTGGCAAGCCAATAGCCCTGGGATTCTAATTGACCAAATTGTCATTTTTAAAGTTGTCAACTTACCTCCACTGTCAAATCTGACAACATCAATACATTTAGTTTATAAGCAAATTTTACACCACCAACGATAACTAATAAACAAAGTAACATAATAAATGAAATAATAATATTTCAATTATTGAACTAAAACTTACTAAACGGGGTACGACGGACGCTTACAATAAACCCAGTCCTCGTCTGTGGAGGACGTGGCAATCTTGGACAGGTCAAACGGGCACAGCTTCCTCGACCCGAACCGTGTCATCCGCTCGGGAGGTATATAGGGGTTAGGAATCTCAGACAGCGTTGGCATATAGGTGAGCAGTGCGTCAGTAAGGATACGCCTGCCGGCTGGTGGTAAATACGCCATTCGACTGTTTTATAACTATAATTATTTTTTAAAAACAGAATATTAGTCATCAATAGATTCTACTTAAATCAAAGTTGTCTCTGATGTAGACCTATTTAAGATAAATAAGTATAGTCATTAAAATCAACATTTAGAGCAGATTGTGTTTAAAACTATGATGTTATATTGAAAGTTTAAGTCTATTTGTACTCAACATCACGTCGAGGAGCAAGGACGGAGGACACATCGTGACTTGAATTCATTTTTATTACGACCGAGACTCCACTTTGACGTCATTTGGGCATCGCTATATTCATTTCAGGTGGGAAATGACTTTAGGAATAGCCAAAAATATTTGTTTTCATTACATATTCCGAGATTATGTCTACATCCAAACAAGGTTTCTAGCAATGATTCTTTTTTAGTATTACGTATTGGTAACAATAATATGAAGCTTTTTATTCATAGACAATGATTCATAATCTAATATTTAATAACTACAATACAATTCGTTGTATATTTTGGTGTAATGACATAAAATCAGGCATTAGGAGAGGATGAGTACTTATAAAGCTCTCTCTCTTGCTCTCTGCACAACCTGCTCATTGTAACACTATCAACTATACCACGGAATATTGGGCAGGATGTTGGTTATATCATGTAAACTTAATTAAAGAAATCAACAGCTTTGAGACTCCTTGATAACTTGTAAAAACTCCACTGACTCCCTTGCCAAGAATGTTTATTTGCGCTACATTTCCCGTTATTTTCACCGGGCGTGTTTATTAGTGCACACGTTTGACTCAATCACGTTCAGTTCCAGCAAGTTAGCTGCGCTGGCAATGTCTAGATTTCTCATAACCACACTTCACGAGATTATATATATATATATATATATATATATATATATATATATATATATATATATATATATATATATTGAACTTGAGTCACATAGTATATAAATTAAAAATAAAATACAACATAAACATTGCCAAATGTCATATTTATATATATATCACATACACACTCTTCAAGAGTATATATATATATATATATATATATATATATATATATATATATATATATATATATATATATATATACCTTGAACTTGAGTCACGTAGCATATCAATTAAAGATGAATTACAACATTAACATTGCCAAATGTCAGATCTTTTAAATTAAACTAATTTAGCACAGCTATTAGTAAAATTGTCCAAACTCTGAGTGAAAATGCATTCCTTTTATTGGTGTGCACAGCCGTGCAGGAATGAAACATTATGTTTACAACAAATTAGTCGAGCTTTGGGGGATAATTAAAATTAAAGACTTAACAATTCAAAAATAATAAATTCAACGGATCTAAAATTGATTCTAGTCTGGTGTTGGCAGGGGCGTCCAGGGGTTTAAGCAACCGAGTTAATGCACTTGGGAGGGGGGGGGTCCCCAATGGCGGATTTTTAAAATGGTCCATTGCTATGCAACTGCTTGCCAGTACTATCTTTCATCATAATTATTTTATTATTTTCCCTCTGCCAAGGTGACATGACATGTATGTAAAGTGCTCATAGCGACACCTATAAGAAAGAGTGAAAAAGTACAAAAAATGTGAGTTCCCCAAATGGCGGTCCGCGAGTCTTACGTTGCCGGTCAACACACCATTAGTCAACAACTGGGGAAGTTTCAAAAGTCTCTTTTCAACACATTTTCAAAAAAGAACCATAAAAATGCCCCGCGTTGTGCGTTTTGTTTCTACATGACACACCTGCACCCCGAAGGGGACACACTTCAAACGATGTCACTGAGTAAAAATATCTGTGTGTAATTTGTGGAGATGTCGCGTGGGCCCTGCCGCTGCAAGGGGCCTCGGGTAGCTAAGGGGCCTCTGATAGCTAAGAGGCCTCGGATAGCCAAGTGGCCTCGGATAGTTAAAGGGCCAAGGGTAGCCAACATGGTAAGATATTTAAATTCAAAACATCACAATATAAGTTTAAAGAGGAGCTAATTTTTGAAAGGTTGCATACCGAACTGAAAGAACTGACAAATTTAGTGTTTAACTCATAGATTCTTTGGGAAAGCCAACTGGAGATGATCTGTTGAAACCTTTCGAAATTGGGTCATTTGATATTGATTTATTTTCATTAATGATTCCCCATTATGATCCACTTCTCAAGTAACATGTGATGAAGTTTCAAAAGTCACCCGACTAAACGGTGAACGCCTTCAAGCTCATTATCTCTCTAATCTGTCTCGAAATGAATTTATTGTGCTCGTCAAGTTTGTAATAATTATGTGTGAATCAACCCCATATTGTGTGTGTGAATCAACCAAATAGTGTGTGTGTGAATCAACCAAATAGCGCGTGTGTGAATCAACCCCATGATGTGTGTGTGAATCAACCAAATATTTTGTGTGTGTGTGATCTTGAATCAACCAAACATTTGTGTGCGAGTGTCAATGAACCAAATATTTCTTACTTACTTACTTTTGGTGTGAACCACACTGAACAAAGCCCATTTGTTATAAGAAACATAATATATGCTTGTACAAACCTGAAAATGGGGAGATTTTTGGCATTCGCCAATTGGTCAACAAAAACTTGATCTGATGTGGCCCAATTGATCTTTGAGGGATGGGCAACATGTGGCCCAATTGATCTTTGAGGGATGGGAAACATGCGGCCCAATTGATCTTTGAGGGATGGGCAACATGTGGCCCAATTGATCTTTGAGGGATGGGCAACATGCGGCCCAATTGATCTTTGAGGGATGGGCAACATGCGGCCCAATTGATCTTTGAGGGATGGGCAACATGTGGTCCAATTGATCTTTGAGGGATGGGCAACATGCGGCCCAATTGATCTTTGAGACTCTTAGAGCAGGGATGGGCAACATGCGGCCCAATTGATCTTTGAGACTCTTAGAGCAGGGATGGGCAACATGCGGCCCAATTGATCTTTGAGACTCTTAGAGCAGGGATGGGCAACATGCGGCCCAATTGATCTTTGAGACTCTTAGAGCAGGGATGGGCAACATGCGGCCCAATTGATCTTTGAGACTCTTAGAGCAGGGATGGGCAACATGCGGCCCAATTGATCTTTGAGACTCTTAGAGCAGGGATGGGCAACATGCGGCCCAATTGATCTTTGAGACTCTTAGAGCAGGGATGGGCAACATGCCGCTTAATTGATCTTTGAGACTCTTAGAGCAGGGATGGGCAACATGCGGCCCAATTGATCTTTGAGACTCTTAGAGCAGGGATGGGCAACATGCCGCTTAATTGATCTTTGAGACTCTTAGAGCAGGGATGGGCAACATGCGGCCCAATTGATCTTTGAGACTCTTAGAGCAGGGATGGGCAACATGCCGCTTAATTGATCTTTGAGACTCTTAGAGCAGGGATGGGCAACATGCGGCCCAATTGATCTTTGAGACTCTTAGAGCAGGGATGGGCAACATGCCGCTTAATTGATCTTTGAGACTCTTAGAGCAGGGATGGGCAACATGCGGCCCAATTGATCTTTGAGACTCTTAGAGCAGGGATGGGCAACATGCCGCTTAATTGATCTTTGAGACTCTTAGAGCAGGGATGGGCAACATGCGGCCCAATTGATCTTTGAGACTCTTAGAGCAGGGATGGGCAACATGCCGCTTAATTGATCTTTGAGACTCTTAGAGCAGGGATGGGCAACATGCGGCCCAATTGATCTTTGAGACTCTTAAAGCAGGGATGGGCAATATGCGGCCCAGCAACTGATATTATGCGGCCCTCAAAGGCATTTAGAATTAAAAACAATTTCTTTGTTTTTTAGTTATTTTGTTGAATTTTAAAGAATTTCACATACCGTTAGGATTCGTTAGGATTCGTTGGGATTCGTTAGGATTCGTTGGGATTCGTTAGGATTCGTTAGGATTGTTTGAACATTTTTGATCAACTTTATTTTTAATTTTCTTTCTTTGTTTTCAACAGTCCTTGACCTTTGTCATGTCATACTAAAATGCAAACTGACCAATTTTAATATAGATATGATTATCACCGTGTAAAAATTGGACATAACATAGATGCTGCCCCCAACAGCTTTACATTTGTCCACCTGGCCCTCCACACAAAAAGTTTGCTCACCCCTGTCTTAAAGGATTGAAAAATTCTATTTGTGAATAGTAAGGGCATGGATATCATCATGGTGCAATAAGGCTGGAAAGTCTAAAGTTCAAGCGATTATTCACCACGTGGATGTCATCAAGCGATTATTCACCACGTGGATGTCATTCATTAAATTTATTAGGACTGAATGCAGCTTCTCAAATATAAGAGACTTTTTTCAAGTTATTCCAACTGTGTGCAGTATATTTTCAGTTTACAATGTGTTTTCTAGGTGATATTATACTGTTGATTCAGAAACTGAACTGGTGGGGGAAACTGGTGGGGGAAACTGGTGGGGGAAACTGGTGGGGGAAACCGGTGGGGGAAACCGGTGGGGGAAACTGGTGGGGGAAACAAATCCTTCTGCCAACTTTGGAGCCAAGTCTCTATCTTCAATAGATTTGTTGAACAACATTTTAGAATTTAAACTGAATTTTTCAGAAATGTGATAATTGCATTACATATTTTTTTATTCAATTCAACTAACTGTTTAAGCAGCAAAGAGCTCATTTAGCAAGCTAAAATTGATTTTAAAAAATTATGAGATCAACAGTGGTGCAAGAGAGATCTATTGATCTGATCTTAATAAGTACTGAGTCACTTGATTTTTCTGTCACTGGCGAGTTTGCAAAACAAAAGACAAAAAGAGCGATTTGAAAGTGTTTTAAAAAAATATTCTTTGTCTCCAATGGACCAAAAGTTGGACCAATTATTTGGCCATTTATTTGTCTCCAATGGACCAAAAGTTGGACCCAATTATTTGGTCATTTATTTGTCTCCAATGGACCAAAAGTTGGACCCAATTATTTGGTCATTTATTTGTCTCCAGTGGACCAAAAGTTGGACCCAATTATTTGGTCATTTATTTGTCTCCAATGGACCAAAAGTTGGACCCAATTATTTGGTCATTTGGGCGGACTTTGGATTGGCTCAGGGCACACAACTCTTCTGGAGATTTTTGTTTTTAAATTATAAAATAAAAATTATATAACATCATAATTTAGTTCAGCTTTAATTAAATAAACTTTTAGGTTTGGACAGGGCATTGTCATCCTTATCAGTCTTTATCAATGAATTCAACGTTTGGACAGGGCATTGTCATCCTTATCAGTCTTTATCAATGAATTCAACGTTTGGACAGGGCATTGTCATCCTTATCAGTCTTTATCAATGAATTCAACGTTTGGACAGGGCATTGTCATCCTTATCAGTCTTTATCAATGAATTCAACGTTTGGACAGGGCATTGTCATCCTTATCAGTCTTTATCAATGAATTCAACGCAATAAAATATTATGTGGCATAAAATCATTATATTATGCTTATCACATGTCTGCAATATTCTCAACTACCCGTAGCTCTATTTTTAAAAAAATCCCTTACCTAACATTCTATTGAAACCAAGGCTGTCTCAAGAACACAATAATTAATTCAAATCATAATACTTTTAAAAATGAAATTCAAATAGATTAATTTGTATCACCCTGGTATATTTCTATACCAAAAATGATCCAAACCACTATTTCTCAAATCTATGAGTGTCAAGTATTATTAAGTGAGCCACTACTACCTATAAAAGCTTTAAGAAAATAAATTTATAATAAAAAAACCAACAACATAG